TTTTATTATAATTATGAACATCTATGAACTATAATCTTTATTGGACCATTCCAAATTTTAAGTTTTAAACTTGAAATAATATATTAAAAGATAAAAACTATGAAATAGTATAAGAAATATTTTAAACTTATATCAATGTAAATAACTTTATGTATAAAATAAAATTTTAAAATTACATATATAATGTCGGGTTGGTTTGGTTTTGGGTTTTTTTTTTTTAGTTAAAACCAAACTGTAACATCCGGTAAGTTGAAATAACTATGAAGAGGCTTAAAAATCGAAAATAGTCATTTTTGGAAAGAATTCAAAATCTGAAAAATTTGGCTAAGTGTGGAAATTAGTGAGTTTTTGGCCAACTTTGAGCAGTCCATAACTTCCAGCTCAGGATGAGTTAGGAGTAGTTCCAGTTATGGTTGTGAAGCTTGTGGAATGACCTTTCCAACGCCACTGAGTTTGCTCGATTCCGAGTTCTTATGAGCGAGTTATGGCCATTGAAAGTTGGGCAGTTGGCAGGGAATCCGTCCGGAAATTTTAAGGGCATTTTGGTCTTTTCCCTAGCCATTTCTTTTGGGATTATATTGTTGTATAGGGCTGATCTTTGGATCATTTTATCCCATTTTAAAAGAGAGAAAGCTAGGGCTTGAGTGAAGAGAAGAAGAGAAGAAGAGAAGAAGGAGAAAAAGAAGAGAAGAAGAGAAGAAGAGGAGATCAACAAGTTTCCGTCGTGGAAATCGTCGAGGGTGATCCCAATCAAGGTATGTGAGTTCTTTGTGTGGGTTGATCCTTTCCCCCACACACCAAGCTCATTTTTATGATTTGAGAAAAGATTGGATTTGTTGTTGAAGTTGTTGTTGTTGAAATTATTGTTGGTTGTGAGACATGATTGGGTTGTGTATTTGAGTTGTAATCTATTGTATGTTGAGAGATTGATGATCCCTAGTGTTTGGGGTTAGATCCATTGAAGTAAGGATGGTTTAGAGTTGAAGAAAAGGGGGAGAAAAGTCGAGTTTCTGGGGCAAGGGGGTCGGCGCGTCGCGCCTGCCAGCGCGCCCCAAAAGGGGCTCTGAGGTTTTCCCCTTGGGGCGGCGCGCCTTGCAGAGCGCCAAGGACGCCAAGTTTCCCCATTCATTCCCCACCTTCTCATGCATGTTCCTTGGTATTGTACCTATGTTGTATGGTTGTTTCCAACACTCTAAGGTACGTTTAAGCCTCTCGAATATATCTGTAACATGTGATCAAACACCTTGAATCCATAAATCCAATTCAAGGAGAGTTAGTTAGAAGTCAAGAGTTAAGTTCAAGAGTTAAGAAGTAAGTCAAGCAAGTCTTCAAGGTTGTTCAAGAGTCTTTATTGAACGTTTTAACTTCAATTTAAGACTCAAGTTTCAAGTCAAGCAAAGAGCTTAGAGTTTCAAGCTAAGTAAAGAGTCTCAAGTTTCAAGTTGAGTCAAGAGTTTAAAGTTGAGTTCATTTCTCAAAAGCTATTAGGGAACTAAGTATTCCCAAAGAAGCTTCTAAATGTTTTTTTACATTTGAGTAAGAAAGGAACTATGATTCCAAAAGAGCCTTAGGGCTAGTTTTCGAGAAAAAGGAACATCGTTTTCCAAGTGAGCCTTTGGGCTAGATTTTGAGTAATTATCTCATTTAAAGAAAGATGTGTTTAAAACACTTATGAGCTAAAAACATTTTGGGAGTAGTATCGAGCAACGATTTGGGGACGTGAGTTCATATTATACTCAACTCTCCATAAGAACCATGTAGCCAACATGGGAGTTAACGGGTCATACTTTTTAGATGAACCCGTAAAGTTAAGCTAGTGGATCCACTTAGTAAAGTTAGCTTCTTATATCAAGACCAGGTATAGGATGGTCCTCAGGCAACGTGAGGTAAAACGTTGTATCATTAGCTTCCTATATCACGGAAAGGTATAGGATGGTCCTCAGGCAACGTGAGGTAAAACGTTGTATCATTAGCTTCCTATATCACGGCAAGGTATAGGATGGTCCTCGGGCAACGTGAGGTAAAATGTTGTATCACCACTTATATTCATAGTGGTGGTTTGTCGGTTAGAGAAGCTCCCACAGTAGAAAAAACATGGTTCCTCGAGGGTTCTGCTTAGTATGGATGGGGGTATGGGACTTCATTCATACATTGCACAAGTAGACCTTGAGAGGAAGCATGTTATTTTCATGATATTATAAATATGATTTTTACGTCATGTTTTAAGAGTTTTACAAGTTTTATATATTGCATGTGTCTTATTGCTTTATATATTGAGTTCAGTTATTCATGAGTTGAACAGAGCCAAGGTAAGTGTTCTCTTGTACTCTTTTCAAGCTTAAGTTGTGGTTTAGTTTTCTAACTCGCATACTCGTACATTCAATGTACTGATGCCAGTTGGCCTGCATCTTATGCCGATGCAGACACAGGTACCCCGGATCAGCATCCTGCACGTCGTTGATCCAGCTGAGCACTCCAGAGTCAGTGGTGAGCCTCCTTGCTTTCCGGAGGACTCGGTTATTTCGTGTTTCTAGTTTTTATTTTGTTAGGATGTTGCGGGGTCTGTCCCAACATCCATCTCAGTATGTTAGAGGCTTCATAGACAGTCAGCCAGTTAGTATTGAGTCTCTCATCTATGTGTAAATATTCTATTTTGAGACTCGAGCTGCCTTTTGGCATGTTATGCATCAGTTGGTTGTTTTATAACCTTTCATTGCATTGAGTTGTACTGTTGAGTTAAGTTTTCGCTGAGTTAAGAAAGCCAGGCCAAGGGTTCGCCTGGGGCCAGCAATGGTCTCCGGGTGCCGGTCCCGTCCAGGGTGTAGGCTCGGGGCGTGACACAAACCAACTCAAATATAATCGGATTTTTTTTACCAATACCAAACCAAGTCAAACCAAACCACTAGTCGGGTTTTTTGTTCGGTTTGACTCGATTTTCGGTTCGATTTTGTGCACCCTACTTGCTAGTCATCACAACATTAGGATTGTGGGATCCAGTTAGGTTATAACTATTGCTCAAATTAGAATTTGGTTTGATTAATTGGTTCTTCAATTATATTTAAGATGATCGACTAATAAATTAAATTAGGTCATGGTAAAGCTGGTCCTGTGGATTTATTAATTAGGTTTATGTGATCTTTGATCCAGAAATTAATTACAATTAAACATTCAACAAGCAAAGGTCACATATATTAAAACATAAATAAGCTATTGGAAAGTGAAAGTTGTCCATGATAATTCAAATTATGTAGTATGAACATAGATAAACATAATGGGCAGGCAAATTCTTTCAATTATAGGGAAGGTATAGAAATTTTTGCTTTCGATGTGACGTTCAATAAATTTGAATTTGCTCTCGTAAGTTCCACTTTGAGGAGAGGAGTAAATCAACTCAAATTCGAGACATTTAAGTAAAGATGAAGGAGTATTTATCATTGCACTACCATCTCTAATAATGATGAGGTGTAGAATTGGAACTTTTTGAATAAGAAAGAACATAATTGGTGAGCTACTAACAAAATTAATGTAGATATCATATTTTCTTCTAATAATTTCTAAAGATATATAATTAATAGAAAAGGTTGGATAAAATTGACACTATTAACACTATTCGTATTGCAAGAAATTTTTAAAAGTTAAAAAAGATTTTTGATATGTAAATCAAATAAGTGCAAAGTATTTCCTATGTTCTATTTTACAATTCAGAATACCAAAAAATAAATTTTCTCTTAATTAAGAGTGATTTATTTATTGCAATTATACCTTTACCATTAAGTAACTATTTTTAAAACTTATTAATGGAGTACTATTTATACAATGTATATACTGTCAAATGTCAATATATAAAGCTTAAGGGGTTATTTAATTGATGGGATTATAAGAATAATAATTTCGAAATAAAATATGAGATAATTAATTATTTTATTCTATATTTAGTTACGGTCTGTCTACAGATATTGAGTAATCCCAAGATTAGACCTAAAACCCAACTTCAAAAAACAATAATATGTAATGAATTACAAAAAGAAAAAGTATGTATTGAAATTATCTTTGAGTACATTACTATGATATTATCTCTAGCTTATTATTACCTTTTTCTTGTTCTTACTTCCCAATAACAAGCAAAACTAAAACAAAATCTTAAAGAAAAAATGTGGAATTTATTATTTTTACATTCAACATTTTGCTTATACTATCCAACAACTTCTCCTTTAATGAATTAATTCGACGACGTACATCTTTTTTTCAATAATTACTAAAGGTAATTAAATATAGTTATATAAATCCTTTTTTTCTTAAATAATTCATAGTAATAGTCTCTTATTCAGAACAAACTATTCCAAGTTTAAATAATGTCCAACAATTTTGAATTTAACTATCAAGTTTGTTGAAATATGATCATCCTTCATCATTTTTTGAGCTTGCACCAACTTTCTTTTGCTTTAACTAGATGTATATCTAACTTACACACATGCTTAACACCAATATATATATATATATATATATATATATATATATATATATATGTGTGTGTGAATTTAAAATGTTTTTTTACTAATTAACAAGGGATACAACGCAGGAAATATATCACGGATCGCGCGAAATGTATGTGTGATGCATGTAAAAGCTAGTTTTATTGAATATATATTTGAGGTCTCTTATTAAGATTTGACTTTTATGCCACCAAATTCATTGAGCAATATTTAGATAGGTAAATAAAATAATGAATAGTTAAAGTATAAAACTCATAATTTTTTTTTTTTTTTTTTACTATTAACTCTTTAAAAACTATACAATATATAGTCATACTACATATCTTAGGAAATGTGGGGGCAAAAGTACTAAAAGGCCATTCATCAGCCATGAAACTATAGTCATGCAAGTTCTATTAAATTTTCAATTGCAAACACCTTTACACCTAAAACCCAAATTTATAAAAACAACTTACAATGAATTACCAACAAAAAAAAAAAAAGTATTGAAAAGTATCTTCAAAAACATTATTATGATATTTATATCTAGCTTATTATTACCTTCTTTTGTTTTTACTTCCCAATAACAAAGAGAAATAAAACAAAATCCTAAAGAAAAATCCCCATGCAATTGTTACCCACAAACAATTCCATTTGTTCAGTTGAGTTATCCCTTGTTGCACCAATATATCTGCACCAGTCATTACACATGTAGAACTTGTTATCCTGACGTTCAATGTTTTGCTTATACTGTCCAACAATTTCTCCTTCAACGAAATCGGAACATCCCCGAGTGGGCTGTTATCGAACAATTGAATCCCACGAACGAAGCATTTCATGGGATCTTTGAATTCGTTCTGCAACACTGCTTCATATGGGTATTTCACGAGCGAGAGGTAATGAAACCATATCCAGTAAGATGGAATCCTATCACGGTTCAAGAAGAAACCACTGAAGAGGAGGTAATACGCGAAAATTGCTACAACAATTACATATCCGATCATGACATGAGGAATGACACCAGAGAGGAATGTGACGAATGAATTACCAGCCCAAAACGAAGCAAGGACGACAGATAAATAGAACAGAAAGCTCGAAGTTCCACCGTCTAGGCCAACAGCCCAGAAAGTCAGGGCTGCGAACGATATAGAGAGGAATATCAATGCTGGTATCGAAACCAAAGCGTGAGAGAGACAATAAGACGATCTCCGATAAGCATTGTAAGCCGTTTCCCTCATGAAAATGAACCTCTCATGAATGAAAACGGGCAATGCCTCCGCGCATGTATAGTAAGTTGTTGACATGGCGAACGCGAAAAACCCAATCCGTTCCCTTACACCTCTAGGGGAATCATCGAGCCGCCAGAACATGGTGGCGAGGATGAAACCCGTGACCATTACTGCACCGAAACGGACAGCGAAAATCTCCGGCATACGCCATGAGTTTGTGAATGACCGCTTTGACAGTACAGCCATTTCGGTCCATATTGGATTTGCAAAAGTAGGAACCATAGAAGTAGGATTAGCAGCATCATTCGTTGCACCAGAAACCAATTTCCCTCTAGAAATGCTTGCACTTATTGCTTCCTTTAGTGACAAATCATATCTCGCCGGCGTTGTTGCAGAATTCCGATTAGTATTTTTCCATTTTCTGTTGAATTCAACTAAACTATTTGTTCCATCAGGTGAGCCTTCGAGTTCGCGGATTAAATCAAGCGCGAACTCTGTTTTGTTCTCGTTTTCCGGAATTGGATGACCAAAATCCGTGAAAAATTGGGGCAAATTCAATGGCGAACCACTGTAAACAGTTTGTCCGCGTGATAAGAAGATCAATCGATCAAGTAAACCGAGAATTCGGTAACTTGGTTGATGAATCGACATTATCACAATACTTCCGCTCTGTGCGATTCGTTGAAGAACTTTAATCACCATGAAAGCACTGGTGGAATCGAGACCGGAAGTAGGTTCATCGAGGAATAAAATGATTGGGTCATGGATGATGTCGATTCCGATTGAAACTCTCCGTCTTTCACCTCCGGAGACTCCTCGGTGGCCTTCATCGCCGATTATAGTTTTGGCTGCGTTTCGGAGTCCTAATTGATCGATTAAAGCTTGAACTCTACCTTTCTTCTTCGATTTCGATAGAGTTCGTGGAAGCCGAAACTCTGCTGAGAACATTAACGTTTCTTCCACTGTAAGCATCGGATAAAGGAGATCATCTTGCATTACGTACGCTGATATCACTTTCAGCAACTTCGAATGCAATGGCTCACCGTTCAATTTCACCTCCCCTTTCAAGCTCTCCTTCGCAATTCGATTAGCTAAAGCATCGATCAACGTCGATTTCCCCGAACCAGACGCGCCGAGCACCGCGAGTAGTTCTCCGTCACGCGCCTCTCCTGATATATCATTCAAAAGCACCTTCGTCCTCGTGCTCGGCGGTTCATCTGTCCGGCGGCCGAAGATCGCCGGAAAAATATTTTTCCGGCGGACTTTCACGCTGTATGTGAGATTACTGAATGACAATACAAATGGAATTGATTGCTGCACCGGAAGTTCCATTGTCAGAACTTGGTGAACTGAATTAGTTTCAGTTTCGTCTCCGGTGACATGATCTCCGACGTTGTTCAACAACTGAGCAAACGTCGGCGACGACATTTCTAACATTTGTCTCCGATCATAAAGAGGTACGCAATCTCTTACTGGTGATACATTTTGAGCTACAATTCTTATCATTTTTTATATGACGAAAATTTTGTGTATGGAAAGAAGAAAATAATTAAAAGTTTGGCCTCTAATTTAAACTAGTGAAGCTACTCATCTCTATAAGAAAAAAATAAAAAGAGCAGACAGCCTACTATAGGTAGATTATGATCTTAATTAGCACTACTACTACACTAATTAATAAAGGGTTGGTTATGAAAACATATTAATTGTTGCATCATGCATGCATGGGTTCTTTTCACTTAATATAATGATGGTCGTGTACGACCTAACTTGGACAACTCAGCTAATTTCATGAAATATCTATATATCGCCTTTCACTTACGTGTGTTTTGATAATACTTATGGGGTTGGCTTGGTGGTTGTAAATAATACTTCTTTTGTTTATTTTTACTTGTCTTGTTTTGTTTTCGAGAGTCAAATTGTATGGAGTTTGATTAATATATTAATTAGATGCATTTATTGATCATCATATTAATATGAGAAGACAGTTGCAACTTATAACATTTAAAATATTAAATAAATCTAATATTCCTTTCATTTCAAATTAATTGAATTTTTGAGGTGTTTCACACCCTTTAAGAAAAGAATATATACATAAATTAAACATAACTTTTCATTTTTAGTCTTATTAATTATTGTCAAATTTATGATTAATATAACTTAACATTTATTATAATAACTAATGAAGGGTAAAATTGAAAGATTATTCTACAAATAGTCTTAAAGATTGAACAATCAAGTTTATTTTGAAAAATGAAAAATGTCTCAACAATTCAATTAATTTGAAATGAAGGGAGTACAATTTAGGTTCAAATTCTTTCAATCCAAAATAAGTTAACTTTTTTTATTTTACGCACTCCTTAATAAAGTTAATTAATTCACTAATCAAATAATCATTTAATGTGATTACCCTTTTAGTTTTACATGATAAAGTTAGAATTTGAAACGAAAAAACCATTAATGTGAAAATGTAACTTCGAAAAAGAACTTCTTGAGCTTTAAAAAAATTATTTATTTTAGATCGTTAAAGAATAAAAATGCTAAAGATTTATTTATTTTGAATCGAAAGTCAAAGTATTTCATATAAAATAAAATTATGTGTATTAAAAATGCGAAAATTGAACTAACTAATACCAAAAATAGAAATCTCTTTATTAATTATAATAAATACATATTATATTTTTGGGGGTTTATGGTTTAAGAGGGAGGATATATTATAAAATATCTTTGATGAATTTTGGAGGATCAGGATGGGGAAGAATTTTTATACCATAAGGTGTGGAGATGACCTAAATTTCCTAATTTTTTATCTACACGTCTGGTTTTACTGGGGTAGGGGTGGTAAGGGGTATGGGTAGGGACACATGGGTAGTTGTAATTTGAAGAAGTTGACGTTATGTGGACACAAAGGATTTTTTTTAGTTTTCGTTCGTACCACATTAAGGTCCGACTATTTTGAATTCGCGTCACGTAGGAATACCTCATTCAGGGGGAAGCGCTCCTTACTAAGGATTTTTTATGCCCAGGGATCGAATTTGAAATTTTTGATTAATGATGGATCGTTGCCCCATCCGTTGCACCACATCTGTAGGCGGTAAGGATGGTCCTTTATAGTTTTCTTTTTGGTGTTTGGTATCTGCATTAAGGTCCGACTATTTCAGATTCGCGCCATGTAAGGTCTCATTTAGGGGGAAGCCGCGCCCCTTACTAAGAAATATTTTATACCCAGAGCTCAAACCTGAAATTTGTGGTTAATGAAGGAGCAACCCTATTCGCCGAACCACGACGTCTGTAGGTGGTAATGATGTTTTTTTTTTTTAGTTTTCCGTTAGGTGTTTAGTATCTGCATTGAGGCCCGACTATTATGAATTCGCGCCATGTTAGGATCTCATTCATGGGGAAGCGCTCCTTACTAAGAATTTTTTTTACTCAGGGCTCGAACTTGAAATTTCTTCGGTAGGCAGCAAGGATATTTTTTTTTAGTTTTTCGTTAGATGTATGATATCTGCATTGAGGCTTGACTATTCTCGATTCATGCCACATAAGATCCCATTAAGGGAAAAATGCTCCTCACTAAGAAATTTTTTTATATCCAAAACTAGAATTTGAAAATTTTAATTAATGAAGAAGTAATCTGATCCATTATACCATTTCAGTAGGCGGAAAGGATGGTATTTTTAGTTATGTTAGATTTCTTATAAGTCTTCGTATTTTAATTTTTAGGTATGGATGGTAATCTACTGATAAGTAGACTACTATTTGAGCAAGACATATATGGGTAGAAAAATACATCAAAGAGTTTTATGGATTTGGTCATAAAAATAATAATAATAATTTTTTTATTTTATTTTTTTGAGAATATATTTTTTTCAATTTATTTGAAAATAAGTATTCTATTTGGCTATGAAAAATTAAATTAAAACAATAACTTATAATTTGTTTTTGACTTATTTATTTTACTTAACGTTCAAATATGAATATTATTCTAAATATCCTTTGCAAAAAACATAACCTAACTCAATAAATTCTAAATAAAGTTAAAAAAATATTTGAAATTTATGGTCAAATATTTGCTGAGTGCTTTTCTATAATAATTATATAAGAAACTATTTAAACATACATAACTACTATTTTGGAGTTGTACCTGTTTGTTCAAATTCATTGTATTTGTTTGCTCAAATTCGATATAGTATCGATCAATTTGCTTTATATTTATCAAATACATTATATTTGTTCGTTCAATCTAGCTGTATCAACATGTATGATTATTTCTTTTTATTACACACTTCTTAAGGATACATTAGTTAGCAAAGAATTTAAATATTTAATTCTTATCCGTAACTTAAGGAATAATCTCTCTTTATCAAATATTTATATTTTATTGAGGCATGTATAATTTGTAAAAATAATAATTATTAAAAAAATATGAAAAAAATAATCTTTATATCTTTAAAATAATAAATAATTTGGGATAATTATTATATACTCCCTTTACTTTATATTAACTAAATTTTTGAGGTTTTTTTCATTGTTCAAAATAATTGAATTGTTCAAAATTTAAGACAAATGTTTGAAATTATTTCCATATTTTTCCTTTCATTTATTGAAGTTTTATATTTTCAAGAAGATGAATTGCACTACTTACAAAGTTATATTTATAATCTCACAAAGGGCAATAGTGAAAATTATGATTTAAAGTATGTCTTGAAATGTTTTTTTTAATAAGTGTTTATTGCCTCACAAATTTAATTAATATGAAATAAAATGAGTAAAATATAATAAATAATTTGAGACGAGAGCGATACATTTCTTAAACAACAGGTAAATGGAACCTGATATCTAAACTTGTACTCTCTCCGTCCCATTTTATATGTCATCCCTTTCTATAAATAGTTGGTCCATAATACTTGTCATTTTATAAAACAATGCATAAATTATCATATTGTTCCTTTTTTACCATTGTGAGTTATTAACCTTGAAAATATACATTTGACCAACTTAGAAAAACTAAGTAAATGATTCATGTTCATTGGTTAAATTAATCAATCAAAATAAATTACTTAATTCATATTCATTGATTAAAAACTTAAGTTCCAAAAAAATTAAATAAGGGTAGAAGGGTAAAATTACATCATTTCTTAATGCAAGTGCAAAGTAAAAAGGTGACATATAAAATAGGACGGAGGGAGTACTATTTAATTTTAATTATCATGCTTTAATTGTTTCTTCTTTTATATAGATGTGAATAAATTGAACATTGTAGGTAATTTATTGTTGTTCATAATAATAATAATAGTAGTAGTTGACTAAAAGAATTTATGATGCTATTAAATGGTGTTGAACAAGTAATAAAACACTTACAAGTTTGGCAACCCCTCCTCATTAATAAACCTAACAACCTCTTAACCACTTTTTGTGTTTTAAAAATACTTACTTCTAGAAAAGAAAAAAATATTTTATTATTTCACCCTTAATTAAAAATTTAAGAAAAGAGTAACTTTTTAATGATGTAAAACTCCATATATTAAAATAAATATAATTTTGAAATTAAAAAAATAGTTCCATTATGTAAAATATAATTTATTTTGAAATAGAGTGAGTATTGCAAAAAAATTTAACCATTGTGAATTCCCACATTTTTTTCATTTTTAAACCCGTTCAACACTCATTAAAATGAAGGTTATTACTAACTATCCTTACCCATCTAACTATCATTAATATGATATTAAATGAATTTTACACGATATAAATTTAGATTAATCATACCTTATATAGATGTGTGAGAATTTGTCCATTTTTATTTGTTCATATTATTTTGAATGTTCAATAATACTTGTTTAATTTATAAAATCAATGAATAATTTATCATTTTGTGTCTATTTTATCCTCATTATTAAATACTATTCAATTTTTTAATGTTTAGATGACTTATATTTAATAAGGGTAATTTGGTAAAATTATCACTATCAGTTACTACTTCTTAATCTCTATGTCAAATATGTAATGAACAACTATTGTTTGTTGGACAAAAATTAAAGGATACCTATGACCTAGATTAGAGTTTGGCAAATTGAAAACACTTTCTCCGTTTATTTTTACTTGTCATTTATTTCTAAAATAGATTTTCATTTTATTTGTCATTTTTAACATATCAAGAAAAGAGAAATTAACTTTCTCCATGTTTTACTCTCAATATTAAATAGTTATTTCTCAAGGCCTAATATGCAACATTATTTAATAAAGTGACAAATAAAAATGAATTGAAATAGACAATAGTAACATCTAGCAAGAACACAAATATTAGTCAACTAGCTATCTCTAAAAGTTAATGTTGCTTTTGCTCAATTTATAGCCAGCTCAAATATATTTCTCCATTTAAGAGACGCTGCAAAATACTCCCCGTCCATTTTTATTTGTCTAGTATATTAAAAAAATAATTGTCTAATACTCCCATCATTTTGAAAATAATTAAATTGTTGAGATACCTTTTAAATTTCATTAACTTAATTG